GACTTATTTTTCAATGGAATTAATGCAAAAGTCTCCTCCTAAACCCCAAATTGGTCTAAACACCCTGCAAGAGCACGGGCTCACGAACTCGGTAAGTTCATGTCATGCCAGCCCATAGCCAAATTTTCCTTGATTTTCAAAAATATTTTCTGATATCTTATATTCCTGTTAGTAATGTCAATAACACAATAATAATTATAGTGTCTATAATAAAAACATCTACATCAATATTAACAGCATTTGTATAAAAACATGTTTTCCCTGCAAACTCAAGGAAAGGTGAAAACAGGTGAGGTCTTAGGGTCTACTAATTGACTCTTTTGTGGCTTAGGACTTGACATTTCACAAAACAATCCAACAATGAACACATTTTCCCAGCGATAGCAACATCAAGTTTCCAGCTTGCAGATCTTCATGATTTCTCATCAAATAAAGAACCTGTTCCAGATCTATACTACCAGAATATACATTGTTGATCATAAATGCCTTTGGAATCTCCTTGATATTCCCAAGCTGGACTCAGATTGTATGCCATCTCCCTGTGTTTGGCACAAGTTTGAATAGAATGCAACCAGTAAATCACAAGAGAAAGTGCTGTTTTGAAATTGCCCCCTGGGTATCCTCTTAACCCATTGGCGCCGGGTGTCACTTACGTACATGCCATGGCTGTTGTGGACCAAATGCTGGGGGCATCATGCCATGCCCATTCCCGCGCTACTGGCTCGTCGGACGGAGGTTGTTTTTCTCCACTAGTAGCGGCTTCATTTATATGGTAAGATTTTAGGCAATGGCACCTTAAGTGAAGGTAAACCTTCAAAACTTTAATATTTTTATAAATTTTAGCAAAATAAAAACTTTTAGGTGCTATATGTCGCTCGCAAACTACCGATCGAGCCGGGCGCAAACAGGGGAAACTGACGGTGCGCGCCAACAAGCCAGTGCATACGTCAACTTGACAAAATTTTTACCCGTTGCTGATGGGTTAACAATGACCAAAACTTATACACATTGAATCTGAGACTAAATACAAAAGGAAACTCTGATCAGAATATTCTATCCCACAAATAATTCTGCAAATATTATAAGAGACCTTTCTTCAACTGGATGTATATTTCAAGGGTATTTGAAACACTATTATTCACAATAATAAACTAGATATACATATATGTCTAATAAAGAAACCCCACATGCCAGAATTTTGGAAATTTAATGCTTGACAGTATGTCACTATCAGGTTGGACTTGAGACCTTTGGCTTTCCAACAAAGATTGCAACAAATTCCAAGGAGATTTGGAATGAATGCTGCCAAGATTTTAAGGTATATATTACTATAACAACTGTACTAAAGGTGCGTTTAACCTGGTCTTGTGTACGCACAGGTCTAGCCGTAAGCTCGGCCAGGCCTATCTAAGCTGAATCAATAACTTTGGTGTGAAATCTGGGAGGCTGTGGGGAGCCAGCGATAACACAACGTAGAACGTGTTTCTCCTTGGGTATCTCCCGACTTTCCAGGGTGCAACTTCAAAATATTGTCTATAATTTGCTTTAAGAAATTATAAGTATCTATAAAGTCAACATAAGTTATATAAGAGATTCTATATAATACATTTAGAGTCAATAATCACAAAATTCATAATTATTACCAAACCCAAATAGAAATGGCTAATTTGAAACTGAGGATCTACACTCGTGCCGACGGCACATCAGACTAGTGTTAATAATTCTGAATCTGTAAATTGGTTTCAATGTTTTTTTCTTATAAAAATATATGCCATGAAACATGAAACTATAGTGAAACAGGGAATAAGTCCTTGTGCTCCATGTTGTTCAAAGAGAAGTACCATGCACAACGTTATTCAAGTGAGGGGCATGTACAGTTTATTGCGACTGTGTTTTTCGCAGTTGAAAAACTACATCTGACTGACCCCTCGAACATGTCATGTCCTAGATGTACACTCATGACCAGTTGAAACGTGCCTTAAGATAGGGAAACTCTATGGGCAGTGCCATAAAGATACATAAAAATTACACTGACTGATATATAATATGATCTGCACAAGTATGGAATAATGTCAGAAAAGAAGCAAACACGTTGCGACTAATGCTGCGCTGAAACTAAGTTCCCATGCACTACCAGTAAGTCCCACCTTTCTTGCCTCAGAGAAAACAACATTACTGTGCGGTAACCTTATTCAAACTGTCTTGGTGTGCGTGTCTCATGATGTCACAACCAATCATCATCAATTTCTTAAAAATACACTATACCTTTAAAATATCTCTGTATTCTGATTTATATATAATTATGCAGAAATATGTATCAATTAGATATTCATTCCTTAAATAAATAATGTGTTCTACATTATTTGAAATGCTTCTTATATCCACATATGCACATGTGCAGCAATCTACCAACAAATTTGACAGTTCTGTTATTGCAGTTATCATTGCTCAGTCCAAAAGGGAAATTTGTTTACAGAGCTACTCTTTTCCAAATATTCTGGTGAAAATGATCTCTTACTGGAATATTTTTGATATCAGGGATAAACTTAAATTCTGTGACAAAACAATAACCGTGTTCCAGCTGCCAAAATACTTTATCACTTGCTAGCCCTTTTCACTTCAGCCATATGAACCTAATTTGTAACTTACAATATACAGCTGATGGTGAATGGGTGGGTTCCAGGGATGAAGCCCCCAGTAGGGAAATATGACAATCAGGAGGGAGTCCAGGGGTGAAGCCCCCAATATGGAAACGTGGGAATCGAGAGAGGATCCAGGAGCAAAGCCCCCGATAGTGAAACAAAGGAATTGGGAGAGGGTCCAGGGGTGAAGTCCCCAGGTTAGGAAGGTGTTTGGTTCCTATGGCAACCTTAGTGGTAGCTTGTGTGTTTAGGCCGTGCAGCGCCATATCAAAGTTTCCATGGCTAAATCTTAGCTTGGGTTTTTTCTATTTTCCAATTTCCTTGTTTTATGAAATGCATCTCTTGACTTGGGCTTTTCAGTTTTACACTTTCTTATACTTCTGATGGTACCTTCTTCAAGCGAAATTAACCATCCCTCCCTACTTCCAAACTACAACCCAATTCTCCACAGAATCCTTCAAGACTGTTGAATGGGACTTTGGTTATGTTGGTAATAATTACCCATACAAATTTGTTGGATCCTTTTGCGTCACAGTGCCGAAAATACGGGTGGTGGATTATGTAAGTGGCCAATATCTTGGGCATGCATTGTGTAACATTTGTAACATTTGGTTATTTGTGTCAAATATCTTACTTTTTTGTAATTTTCAATTTCCTGTAATACCCGTGCCACTTGTCACAGCAACCAGGAATATGATACTGAGCACTGAAATGGCATCCTGCCTGGAGCCGGTGCTCTTCCAGTCACGGCTTATGCACCTTATATTCCACATTTGTTTATCGATGGAAATAATGCAAAAGCCCCTTTCTAAGCGTCAAATTACTCTAATCACACGCCTACAGATTTGTACACTTGTGTCGAGTCTTTTCCATCACCCTGGCCTTCACTCATGATTACTGTTTCATGTTACCCAGCCCATGGCCTTTTTGTCTGATGACAGCTTGTTTAATTCACCTGGCCCTCGATCCTCATCTTTCCATAACAAGACTGTCATGGAATCATAGGGAACAAGAAAAAAAATATCCCATGCTGAGTGTCACTGCAAATGACATTTACCTTGTTTAGCTATACTTTCATAATGCTTTACAATACTCACAACTTCCCGTCTGTATCTTATTCATCTAAAGAATCTTGAAAGACCTCAAATTTGGTACTAGTTATACAGTCTTTTGGAATTTTTGTCTCTGTTTGCGGACCACATTCCTAAAACCCCTAGTCTGGAGTGCAGCACAAGTCACTGCTGAAATAGAACCTAGAAATGATTGAATGATAAACATGCATGATTGACATCGTAACTCGGCTCAGGTGAGGTAAGCAAATTTCTCCTAACCATTCATCCTTCCCATGTTGCTGAACAAATTATAGGAGTTTGGCCTATCTAAACTGAGCTTAAACAGACACCAATAGGAGTTGACTGCAAAATAAAAGAACAAATGCATCAAGAAAAGTGTGTGATCTGCCTCCGAAAAATATAAAATGAGCAGCAGCAGTACCAGCTGAAAAAAAATCCAATATAACATAACATTTATGTATGATATTTGATTTATTGTTGACTGAGCAAACAAATAATTTGTATGATTTGTTCTAGAGTCGGCTATCATGAATTATCCAATTTCCACACTCTGATTTGGAGAATTATCTTCTATGCATCCGTTCACTTTCATTTCTCTTAATAGCTATATTTCCTCCCCTATTAATGTGGACTAGCCCATTCATATACAACACTAAGTATCAAGTTGTTTAATTTTTACCATGGTCATTATATACTTTGAATAATACACTCAATGAAGGTTATAATCCTATCAAAATTAAAATATTGATTTACTGGTCAAGTGTTACCTTTAGTGCATTAGATAATTAATACAACATCAAGTTCTTAACATCACCAACCCTCTGAAATTAAATACAATACAATATGAAGTGAATAAAGTATTTGCTGTAGCCAGTGGATTACTGGAACAGGTGCCAGTACTTAAATATGGCTCTTAATAATTAATCACAATAGATCAAAATTTTAATTTCTTGTTCTCACTTTGATACTCAGGAACCCAGTTCAACAATGCAGACAAGTATAGAAATTGTAAACAATTTGTCTTGAAATACTGAACATATATGCAATACCATATGCAATGACAGACTATCCACTATGCCTCCCATAATATTTGCCGTTGGTTTGTATCTAACACTTGGAGATGCGTATCCTTCCTAAGGGTATGCAGGTCTCGCAACAGAAAGAACCGAGACAATATTTCGTAAAATCACCAGTTTCTAAATTTCAAGCATATGGCATTCTTGTAACGAGGGAGCCACAGCCCACACATCCAAAATAGGACAAAAAAAAGACCAGCGGGACTCACAAGGTGTTCCTAACGTCTCCGGGGCGCCAGATGATGAAGGGGATGCAGAGGACAGAGCAGAGCATCACACTGGCGTAGAACAGGAAGAACTTCAGGTACAACCTAAAGCGATGGCTGAATTCATACACGAATGGCATGATCATCACTATGGCGATCAGCGCATTCGTATAGTCGCACGCCAACATCTTCCTTGTGCGCGTGTCACGGGAGAAAAGAGGAAAAGTTCTTCGTTCTTGAAGAGCGAGTGGAGATTTGTGCGTGTTTCCCGAGGCTCCTTCTGTCAATGCAGACTATAGACGCCAGAGAGAAAC